ATATATATATATATAGATAAATATATACACACAATAATCCAAACTAAAAACATAAAACTTAAGTTGTCAGTCAAACAACATTTATACATGTGTCGGAATAGCCACCAACACAACGCCACCATCTCCAACATGGTAGCCAAAAGGTCTAGCTTGCCCTTCAATCTAATCTGTCATGCTCCTATATAAATGATCATCCAATCCAATAATAAGGAAATAAGGGTAATTTTATAGACAATAAAGCAACATATACAATATAATAATAAGTTATTCACAATTCAAAAATAGTCTAATCTTAACTCAACAAATCAACACAACCATTTCAACTACTCAACATGTCAAATTTATCATCACTACACAACATACCATCAACTTAGATTTTTAACACAACATATCAACAACACAATAACTCATAACTTAACAGTAGAACAACTTGAAAAAATAATGCAACATAGCAACATAACAACACAATGCGTCATCTGAATTTTAACTAAGAAATCTCTTACAACAAAATGAACAGTTTAAGTGGTTTGACCCTACTGAACCAACTTAACAACACGATCTTTTTGAGTTTGTTAGATCAATGACAAATTTGGATAACAATAACAAATTTGAATAACAATACACAACACAATATGATTTCTTGGATTTTGCCACTTAGACTAAAAAAGTCTAGTATCTCTATCAGGAGTAGAATGACTTGGGTGTGAGTTTATCACGATCTTAATATGCATAATTATGCTTATATGAAATTAATTCGTCGACTACCCTCCAAATATTGTGCCTTTTCCAGTATTTAGTTATAGATTTTGACCATCGACCTTGTATCTTACTTGGTTCGTGCTTCTAAACTAGTATGATTCGACCTTACTCACATACAATATCAATTAACGACCTAGAGAAGATTCAACACTCCAATTCAAGAAACAACTATATAATCAAGAAGGGTTTTTCAACAACTGAGCTCTTAAAGCACCACAACACATCTTCACAATGAGATATATATCTTTAAAAATAACACCTCTCGTTTAGTCCTAAGTCAACAACACAACACAATTACGTGCTTAAAGCATTCACAACATAACTCTATTCAACACTAAAAAATTTATCATCGTACAAATCTACTTATACAACTTTAACTATTAATCAACTTTCACTTTATCTACTTAAAACATCATTATATATAATTAAAGATCAATACATAATGACCTAGATTAAAACATCATCTTTATAAGGTAAACTATCATCAAAGTTTAACATTTAAATCAACTAAGTTATAGTTTGCATTCAACAGAATCACATATAATGTCATTCAACCTATGCTTGACTTTGGTGAGATAGAGAGCCTTTAGCTCGCCCACCCCTGACACCATTTCACTTGTGTCCCGCATAAGTGAGATAGGGAGTCTCTATGTACACCATACTTGACGTCACAAAATCCATGTCTAGTGTTAGTGAGACAGAGAGCCTTTGATCTGCATCATGTATGATGCCATGACATTGCACCTAATGCGATAGCAAATTCTACACTTAGCAAGATCGCAATTTGGCTTAAAACTTGCAAAATTCACTTCCAATCCAACATGCAATACATAAGATCACAAGTATACCCTCTAACCAACTCGGTTATATACATCGACAATATCAACATGCAAATAACCAAATGTTCAAACCATCACTTTCTCCTTCAAACCACCAAAACTCAAATAACAAGAACATCTCATATCACATCTCAATTTCAACATCAAAATATTCCAAACAGTAATCAATTCACCTCATACACAAAAATAGAAGATTCAATTATAAGTTTCCCTTACCTTGATTGACCAAGAAAAAAGAAGTAAAAGAAGGAAGAACACAGTCGACCAAAATTTTCTCCGCACAACACCACTAACACTCTATTTCTCAGCTCTCCAAACCTTATGTGAAATCTTAATGATTTTGGTCAATTTGTTTGATGAGAAAATTATAAGTAAGTTCTACTAAAATATTTCACAAAATGCATCTATTGAAATCACTGTTTTTAAATACCAACAAACTTTTTTTAAGTGAAAAAAGTCATGATTGAATGTACTCCTAAAGCATTTGTAATTGTCTTAACTAAGTATCACTAAGTTTTGATGTACTCTTAAATAAATTATAATTGTTTTAATTGAATATCACATTTTTTTATATTAAAAAATCTTGATTGAATACCACAAGATTTTTTTGATAATAAATTTTTTTTATCTCAATATAATACACTTCTAAAAATTTGAAGTACATAAATATAATTAAGAATAAGAATAGGTCAAATCTTAAATAATGACATATGACCTTGTTTAAAGTTTGACTTATCTATTTAATAAAAAAGTTAGGTTTAGATTTTTTTTAAAAAAACTTATTTATTTAAAAAGATTGGACTTAGACTTATAAAAGAACCATTAGGCTTGATAGATCAATCTATTTATCTATGATATAATAAAAATAATATATATAACATTATTAATAATATAATTAAATAAATAAAATTTTAATAAAAAATTCAAATTTTATCAATATATTTTACATTTCTATTATACTTAGAAATTTTACATTTCTTATTCATACGAAATCAAGATATAAAAAAAAAACTCTAGTAGTTACATATTCGTCTACTTTTTTTTTCTTGTTCTACATGGTTGATTATTTGAAATATTTAAAATATAATACAGAAAATATTTAGAAAATTTTCTTTTTTTAAGATTATCTTCTTCATTACAATGTGTGCATGAATGTACTTTAATACACATGAGTGTACTTTAGTTCACATGAGTATGCATAAATAGTTTCTTAATAAATTTTTTATCTTAAACTCTAAAATTTAATAATAATAGAATAAAATATTTTTTATCATGCAAATTACCGTGTTAGCAATGCTTAGTAGTGGTGGATACAAGTAAAGTGATAATTAGCATATGCAATTAAGTTGATAATGAATAAAGTTAAATTAAATTCGACTCGATAACATTTAACTTAATATATAAATGGACTCAATTTTAATATGAATATTTTTTCTCAATTCGAATTTGACTCAATTTAATCCACAGCAAGAAGAATCACCAGATCTCAAACCGCCTCCAACAATATCCCACTCTCAAGAAAAAA